CTAGAATCTGTATTGAATAAAGCCACTGTTTGGCGAAACGTCTACAATAAAGATATCCAGTTTTTGCAACATGTGTCCCTTAACTTTCATATTGTCGGGATTTTATACCTTTCTTGCACAACTTGTCAACACTGCAACATCATGAATCTTGGTTCAGAGGACATCTACAAGACCTTCTTCACGGCTTCTGCAACTAACCCATTCTTTGGGAAGGACCTACTTCCACTGGGGAATCCCGCCTACCAGTGACTGCCCTCGTCTGCTGCCCGTCCCTATCCACTGACGCGTATATAACCCCCAGTCTTCTTGCCTTTTCTCCAGATTCTCCTCCACCACGATGCTGTGAACACTAACTCCTAGGCCGAGGGGCTGATTACCTCATCTTTTGTATATAGTTCACTGTCTTCCTATTATGTCCTAAAAATCTGTATTGATAAAGCCATGGTTGGCGAAACGCTACAATAAAGATATCCAGATGTTGCACATGTGCTTAACTTTCATATTGTCGGTATTTATACCTTTCTTTCACAACTTGTCAGACACTGCAACATCATGGAATCTTGGTTCAGAGGACATCTACAAGACCTTCTTACGGCTTCTGCAACTAACCCATCTCTTTGGGAAGGACCTACTTCCACTGGGGAATCCCGCCTACCAGTGACTGCCCTCGTCTGCTGCCCGTCCCTATCCACTGACGCGTATATAACCGCCAGTCTTCTTGCCTTTTCTCCAGATTCTCCTCCACCACGATGCTGTGAACACTAACTCCTAGGCCGAGGGACTGATTACCTCATCTTTTGTATATAGTTCTACTGTCTTCCTATTATGTCCTAGAATCTGTATTGATAAAGCCACTGGTTGGCGAAACGTCTACAATAAAGATATCCAGATGTTGCACATGTGTCTTAACTTTCATTTCAGGATAGTGAGGCTCAGGTTAGTGTGTGTAGAAGAGAGGGAGAATACTTCCCGGTAAAAGTAGGTCTTAGACAGGGATGTGTAATGTCACCATGGTTGTTTAATATATTTATAGATTGGGTTGTAAAAGAAGTAAATGCTAGGATGTTCGGGAGAGGGGTGGGATTAAATTATGGGAAATTAAATACAAAAGGGGAAGGGACATGTTACTTTTTGCTAATATACGTCTCATGAGGTTTCTAAAAAAAAATTGCAAGGTTAGTGGACAATTTTGGGGGTGTGAGTAAGGTAAAAATTTAAAAGTGAACATAAAAAGAGTAAGGTGATGAGAGTATCAAAATGATTTAGATAAAGAAAATTTGAATACAAATTGGGTGGGAAAGAGTATGGAAGAGTGAATGTTTTGAACTTGGGAGTTGACGTGCCCATGGATGGGTTTATCATGAACTGTGAAGGGAAAAAAGGTGAGTGATGCTTAAAGGGTAATGGGGAGGCACAAAATGTTATCTATGGGGGGCAAAGAAGGGAATGTATGAAAGTACAGTACTCCCAAAACACCTTATAGGGGTGTGAACTTGGGTTGTAAATGCTAGAGGAAAAGGCGGTTGGAGGCAGGGAGGTGTCCTGTCTAAGGGCAATGTGTGGGTAAAATTAGCAAAAATTGGGAGTGTGGAAATTAGGAGAAGGTGTGGATTTAAAATAAAAGTATTAGTAGAGGGCTAAGGGGGGTTTTTAAGGAGTTCGGTCATTTAGAGAAAATGGATCAAGTTGAATGAATGGAGGCGTAAAAATTTTAGGGGAAGGAAGGGGGGTGGGGGGTCCCCCCGGGAAAAGGTTGGAGGGGGGGGGTAAAGGGAGGTTTTGTGGGCGGGGGGCTTAAATTCCGAAAGCTGCATGAGCCTTTTAGAAAGGAGTAAAGGGGAGACGAAGGGTTTTTTGGGACCTGACGATCTGTTTGGGGGTGGCGGTAATATTTAGTGAAGGGGTTCAGGGAAAAAGGTTTTTTTATATAACCGGACTTAGTCCTTTAAATGGAAATACAAGTTTCCCGCACTCTAAAGGGGGTTTGGGGTATTGGGGTTTGGGGGATAAATGTGGTTTTTAAGTTATACTTCTAAAATTTTTGTTTCTGAGCACTTTGCAAAAACAGTGATTATGTGTGAGCGAGGTGAAAGTATTGAATGATGATAAAAGTATTTTCTTGGGATTTTCTTTCTTTTTGGGTCACCCTGCCTCGGTGGGAGGCGGCCGTCTTGTTATATATATATATATATATATAATATATATATATATATATATATATATATATATTATATATATATATATAATATATATATATATTATATATATTAACACACTGGCCGACTCCCACCAAGGCAGGGTGGCCCGAAAAAGAAAAACTTTCACCATCATTCACTCCATCACTGTCTTGCCAGAAGGGTGCTTTACACTACAGTTTTTAAACTGCAACATTAACACCCCTCCTTCAGAGTGCAGGCACTGTACTTCCCACCTCCAGGACTCAAGTCCGGCCTGCCGGTTTCCCTGAATCCCTTCATAAATGTTACTTTGCTCACACTCCAACAGCACGTCAAGTATTAAAAACCATTTGTCTCCATTCACTCCTATCAAACACGCTCACGCATGCCTGCTGGAAGTCCAAGCCCCTCGCACACAAAACCTCCTTTACCCCCTCCCTCCAACCTTTCCTAGGCCGACCCCTACCCGCCTTCCTTCCACTACAGACTGATACACTCTTGAAGTCATTCTGTTTCGCTCCATTCTCTCTACACGTCCGAACCACCTCAACAACCCTTCCTCAGCCCTCTGGACAACAGTTTTGGTAATCCCGCACCTCCTCCTAACTTCCAAACTACGAATTCTCTGCATATATATATATATATATAATATATATATATATATATATTATATATATATATATATATAATATATATATATATATATTATTATTGTAACCACGAACGAGTGGTATTGATCAATAACAACACTGCGATAGCCAAGGATTCGAACCCATGTTATACTGGCCTGCGTCATGGTAAGCGAGAGCTACATGACACTTTAAACCACAGGACCACCCAACCCTACAAGAATGGCGCAGCCAGCAGTGCTAGCTGTTGGGGCCACCATTATATATATATATATATATATATATATATATATATATATATATATATATATATATATATATATATTTATATAATATATACTTATATATAATGCAATTATCGCAAACCAAGTGATACAATATGCAAAATAACCAAGGGAGGACTAGAATGATAGCTCTAGGTCCCTCGTGTTCAATCAACACATCCGCAGCTTGCAAAGTTGCAGAAAAGAGGAGGATGTGCAAGCAAGTATGTTCCCAGAGGAAATCTTCACTCCAGCGAGACCTGTCCAGACCCAAGCACGTTAATGTGACTGGGTCTGGAGAGGTCTGGATCAGTCCTTGACCACTATTAAGTTGACTTAAAAGTTGATAATGGTTCAGGGATGACACGCCTGTGGCAGGAGACACCTGTGGCAGGAGACACCTGTGGCAAGAGACACCTGTGGCAGGAGGCACCTGTGGCAGGAGGCACCTGTGGCAGGAGGCACCTGTGGCAGGAGACACCAGTGGCAGGAGACACCTGTGGCAGGAGAAACCTGTGGCAGGAGACAACTGTGGCAGGAGACACCTTTGGCAGGAGACACCTGTGGCAGGAGACACCTGTGGCAGGAGACAACTGTGGCAGGAGACACCTGTGGCAGGAGACACCTGTGGCAGGAGACAACTGTGGCAGGAGAGACCTGTGGCAGGAGACACCTGTGGCAGGAGACACCTGTGGCAGGAGACACCTGTGGCAGGAGACACCTTTGGCAGGAGACACCAGTGGCAGGAGACACCTGTGGCAGGAGAAACCTGTGGCAGGAGACAACTGTGGCAGGAGACACCTTTGGCAGGAGACACCTGTGGCAGGAGACACCTGTGGCAGGAGACAACTGTGGCAGGAGACACCTGTAGCAGGAGACAACTGTGGCAGGAGACACCTGTGGCAGGAGACACCTGTGGCAGGAGACACCTGTGGCAGGAGACACCTGTGGCAGGAGACACCTGTGGCAGGAGACACCTGTGGCAGGAGACACCTGTGGCAGGAGACACCTGTGGCAGGAGACACCTGTGGCAGGAGACACCAGTGGCAGGAGACACCTGTGGCAGGAGAAACCTGTGGCATGAGACAACTGTGGCAGGAGACACCTTTGGCAGGAGACACCTGTGGCAGGAGACACCTGTGGCAGGAGATACCTGTGGCAGGAGATACCTGTGGCAGGAGACACCTGTGGCAGGAGACACCTGTGGCAGGAGACACCTGTGGCAGGAGACACCTGTGGCAGGAGACACCTGTGGCAGGAGATACCTGTGGCAGGAGATACCTGTGGCAGGAGACACCTGTGGCAGAAGACACCTGTGGCAGGAGATACCTGTGGCAGGAGACACCTGTTGCATGAGACACCTGTGGCAGGAGACACCTGTGGCATGAGACACCTGTGGCAAGAGACACCTGTTGCATGAGACACCTGTGGCAGGAGACACCTGTGGCAGGAGACACCTGTGGCAGGAGACACCTGTGGCAGGAGACACCTGTGGCAGGAGATACCTGTGCAGGAGACACCTGTTGCATGAGACACCTGTGGCAGGAGACACCTGTGGCAGGAGATACCTGTGGCAAGAGACACCTGTGGCAGGAGACACCTGTGGCAGGAGACACCTGTGGCAGGAGACACCTGTTGCATGAGACACCTGTTGCATGAGACACCTGTGGCAGGAGACACCTGTTGCATGAGACACCTGTGGCAGGAGAGACCTGTGGCAGGAGACACCTGTTGCATGAGACACCTGTTGCATGAGACACCTGTGGCAGGAGACACCTGTTGCATGAGACACCTGTGGCAGGAGAGACCTGTGGCAGGAGACACCTGTTGCATGAGACACCTGTGGCAGGAGAGACCTGTGGCAGGAGACACCTGTGGCATGAGACACCTGTATTGTTTACTAACAGAACACCAGCACTGTCAGTACTTACATCCGCCAGCCAGGGTGATGTTTAGACTTCCGTCTATGCGCTGACAATCCCGTAGTGACCTGCCGGGGTCGCTGCTGGTGATGGTGGCTCCTCTACAGGTCTTGCTGTAGTTACCTGTCCCCATCACACCTCCAACACCAAACACAAACGTATGTGTTAAATATTTTAGCATGTTAAGATTATAAACTAGTAAACATTCTTGGCCAAGTTAACATTGTAAATGTATGAACATTCGTGACCAAGTTAACATTGTAAATGTGTGAACATTCGTGACCAAGTTAACATTGTAAATGTATGAACATTCGTGACCAAGTTAACATTGTAAATGTGTGAACATTCGTGACCAAGTTAACATTGTAAATGTATGAACATTCGTGACCAAGTTAACATTGTAAATGTATGAACATTCGTGACCAAGTTAACATTGTAAATGTGTGAACATTCGTGACCAAGTTAACATTGTAAATGTGTGAACATTCGTGACCAAGTTAACATTGTAAATGTATGAACATTCGTGACCAAGTTAACATTGTAAATGTATGAACATTCGTGACCAAGTTACATTGTAAATGTAATGAACATTCGTGACCAATTAACATTGTAAATGTGTGAACATTCGTGACCAAGTTAACATTGTAAATGTGTGAACATTCGTGACCAAGTTAACATTGTAAATGTATGAACATTCGTGACCAAGTTAACATTGTAAATGTATGAACATTCGTGACCAAGTTAACATTGTAAATGTATGAACATTCGTGACCAAGTTAACATTGTAAATGTGTGAAAATTCGTGACCAAGTTAACATTGTAAGTGTGTGAACATTCGTGACCAAGTTAACATTGTGTGTGAACATTCGTGACCAAGTTAACATTGTAAGTGTGTGAACATTCGTGACCAAGTTAACATTGTAAGTGTGTGAACATTCGTGACCAAGTTAACATTGTAAGTGTGTGAACATTCGTGACCAAGTTAACATTGTAAGTGTGTGAACATTCGTGACCAAGTTAACATTGTAAGTGTGTGAACATTCGTAGTCATCTGAAAGCTGTTTTTTTTTTTAAATAATTGTCATCTAATATGTAATATAACTAAACCCAGGACAATCAAACCTTGCTCAACCCAACCCAATCCACTCTGATTCAATCCAACCTAGTCTAATCCAATCAAATCCAACCTAACCCAACCTATCCTAAACAAACCTAACCTAACCTAACCTAACCTAACCTAACCTAACCTAACCTAACCTAACCTAACCTAACATAACCTAACCTAACCTAAAATAACCTAACCTAACCTAAAATAACCTGACCTAACCTAAAATAACCTAACCTAACCTAACCTAACCTAACCTAACCTAATCTAACCTAACCTAACCTAACCTAAAATAACCTAACCTAACCTAAAATAACCTAACCTAACTCAACCTAACCTAGTCGAACCTAGCCTATCCTAAGCTGGACTCACGTAAACTAACATAGTCCTGCCTGACCTAACCAAGGAAATGAGGGAGAGGGAGAGTGAGGGAGAGGGGGAGTGAGGGAGAGGGGGAGTGAGGGAGAGGGTGAGTGAGGGAGAGGGGGAGTGAGGGAGAGGGGGAATTAGGGAGACGGGGAGTGAGGGAGAGGGGGAGTGAGGGAGAGGGAGAGTGAGGGAGAGGGGGAGTGAGGGAGAGGGGGAGTGAGGGAGAGGGTGAGTGAGGGAGAGGAGTAGTGAGGGAGAGGGTGAGTGAGGGAGAGGAGTAGTGAGGGAGAGGGGAAGTGAAGGATCTTATCCGGGTGTTCACTGCACTTGTTTATAAACATCTGCCACAAACACATGTTACAGTCACATGTAATTACTTTAGTGAGTGCACAACACATGCGATCATTTCCTTGTTCTGACTAACAACTTACTAAACATTTATTCAAACATTGTAGTTAATTACTTACGAAAAGTGATATAATTAGGCTGAATATAATTAGGCCTCATCAAGCAAGATCATTAATTAAATCATAGTGATTATATCATAGGTATAGGAATGGATCGATCAAATACTGTGATTACTAACGACAGTCATGTGGAACTGTCTGAGTGCTACTGGCTGACTGGTACCTACTGTTAGTTAGGTTACATAGATTACAGTCACCTGTTGCTTTACGTCACTGGAGGTGTCATGTGACCAGCCACATCCAATAATACTCACTGGTGACAACGTTTTTACTAAGCAGGGAGATCACTGCGTCATTTGCGACACTTGTCAACTAACTCTAGTGTCACCAACAGTGACCTCTGTCACCTTACTCTAGTGTCACCAACAATGACCTCTGTCACCTTACTCTAATGTCACCAACAATGACCTCTGTCACCTTACTCTAGTGTCACCAACAATGACCTCTGTCACCTTACTCTAGTGTCACCAACAGTGACCTCTGTCACCTTACTCTAATGTCACCAACAATGACCTCTGTCACCTTACTCTAGTATCACCAACAATGACCTCTGTCACCTTACTCTAGTGTCACCAACAGTGACCTCTGTCACCTTACTCTAGTGTCACCAACAATGACCCCTGTCACCTTACTCTAATGTCACCAACAATGACCTCTGTCACCTTACTCTAGTGTCACCAACAATGACCCCTGTCAACTAACTCTAGTGTCACCAACAATGACCTCTGTCACCTTACTCTAGTGTCACCAACAATGACCCCTGTCAACTAACTCTAGTGTCACCAACAATGACCTCTGTCACCTTACTCTAGTGTCACCAACAATGACCCCTGTCAACTAACTCTAGTGTCACCAACAATGACCCCTGTCACCTTACTCTAGTGTCACCAACAATGACCCCTGTCAACTAACTCTAGTGTCACCAACAATGACCCCTGTCAACTAACTCTAGTGTCACCAACAATGACCCCTGTCAACTAACTCTAGTGTCACCAACAATGACACTTGTCACCTTACTCTAGTGTCACCAACAATGACACTTGTCACCTTACTCTAGTGTCACCAACAATGACCCCTGTCACCTTACTCTAGTGTCACCAACAATGACCCCTGTCACCTTACTCTAGTGTCACCAACAATGATCTCTGTCACCTTACTCTAGTGTCACCAACAATGACACTTGTCACCTTACTCTAGTATCACCAACAATGACCCCTGTCACCTTACTCTAGTGTCACCAACAATGACCTATGTCACCTTACTCTAGTGTCACCAACAATGACCTCTGTCACCTTACTCTAGTGTCACCAACAATGACCTCTGTCACCTTACTCTAGTGTCACCAACAATGACACTTGTCACCTTACTCTAGTGTCACCAACAATGACACCTGTCACCTTACTCTAGTGTCACCAACAATGACCTCTGTCACCTTACTCTAGTGTCACCAACAATGACCTCTGTCACCTTACTCTAGTGTCACCAACAATGACCTCTGTCACCTTACTCTAGTGTCACCAACAATGACCTCTGTCACCTTACTCTAGTGTCACCAACAATGACCTCTGTCATCTTACTCTAGTGTCACCAACAATGACCTCTGTCACCTTACTCTAGTGTCACCAACAATGACACTTGTCACCTTACTCTAGTATCACCAACAATGACCCCTGTCACCTTACTCTAGTGTCACAACAATGACCCTGTCACCTACTCTAGTGTCACCACAATGACACTTGTCACCTTACTCTAGTGTCACCAACAATGACCCCTGTCACCTTACTCTAGTGTCACCAACAATGACCCCTGTCACCTTACTCTAGTGTCACCAACAATGACCCTGTCACTATACTCTAGTGTCACCAACAATGACACTTGTCACCTTACTCTAGTATCACCAACAATGACCCCTGTCACCTTACTCTAGTGTCACCAACAATGACCCCTGTCACCTTACTCTAGTATCACCAACAATGACCCCTGTCACCTTACTCTAGTGTCACCAACAATGACCTCTGTCACCTTACTCTAGTGTCACCAACAATGACCCCTGTCACCTTACTCTAGTGTCACCAACAATGACCTCTGTCACCTTACTCTAGTGTCACCAACAATGACCCCTGTCACCTTACTCTAGTGTCACCAACAATGACCCTTGTCACCTTACTTAGTGTCACAACAATGACCCTGTCACCTTACTCTAGTGTCACCAACAATGACCCTGTCACCTTACTCTAGTGTCACCAACAATGACCCCTGTCACCTTACTCTAGTGTCACCATCAATGACACTTGTCAACTTACTCTAGTGTCACCAACAATGACACTTGTCACCTTACACTAGTGTCACCATCAATGACACTTGTCACCTTACTCTAGTGACACCAACAATGACCCCTGTCACCTTACTCTAGTGTCACCAACAATGACCCTGTCACCTTACTCTATGTCACAACAATGACACTTGTCACCTTACTCTAGTGTCACCAACAATGACCCCTGTCACCTTACTCTAGTGTCACCAACAATGACCCCTGTCACCTTACTCTAGTGTCACCATCAATGACACTTGTCAACTTACTCTAGTGTCACCATCAATGACACTTGTCACCTTACTCTAGTGTCACCAACAATGACCCCTGTCACCTTACTCTAGTGTCACCAACAATGACCCCTGTCACCTTACTCTAGTGTCACCATCAATGACACTTGTCAACTTACTCTAGTGTCACCAACAATGACACTTGTCAACTTACTCTAGTGTCACCAACAATGACACTTGTCACCTTACTCTAGTGTCACCAACAATGACACTTGTCAACTTACTCTAGTGTCACCAACAATGACCCCTGTCACCTTACTCTAGTGTCACCAACAATGACACTTGTCAACTTACTCTAGTGTCACCGACAATGACCCCTGTCACCTTACTCTAGTGTCACCAACAATGACACTTGTCAACTTACTCTAGTGTCACCAACAATGACCCCTGTCAACTTACTCTAGTGTCACCAACAATGACCCCTGTCACCTTTCTCTAGTGTCACCAACAATGACCCCTGTCACCTTACTCTAGTGTCACCAACAATGACACTTGTCACCTTACTCTAGTGTCACCATCAATGACACTTGTCACCTTACTCTAGTGTCACCATCAATGACACTTGTCACCTTACTCTAGTGTCACCAACAATGACACTTGTCACCTTACTCTAGTGTCACCAACAATGACACTTGTCACCTTACTCTAGTGTCACCATCAATGACACTTGTCACCTTACTCTAGTGTCACGATCAATGACATTTGTCACCTTACTCTAGTGTCACCAACAATGACACTTGTCACCTTACTCTAGTGTCACCATCAATGACACTTGTCACCTTACTCTAGTGTCACCAACAATGACATTGTCACCTTACTCTAGTGTCACCATCAATGCACTTGTCACCTTACTCT